GTATATAATATTAAGTAAACTAAATTAATTATATTGGACTGGACCAATTGGACTAAATTGGACTCATAAATTTGGTCCAGTCCAAGTCCAATATAAAATTAATTATTGGACCAATCCAATAACAACCCTGTTTTTTTCGCCTTTTTTGCTTTTTTTTCGTTTCATGAAAACCTACGATTCTATTGATTAATCATGTAGATCCCCAAAATAAGGAATCGATCTTGGACCATTCTCAGAGATAGATACGTACGTATGAGCTTCATGCTAATCTCTAAATGATTATAATCTCTATATAAAGAAATTCAATATAAAAATGGCATTTAATTGAGAAAATATAATTATCAGGAAGTTAAGAAGAATTTATCTCATGATGTTAACAGAAAAAACTTTGTTTTCATTTACATTCTTATTACTATGCTTACCCTTTAGATTAAATGCGTTATCAAATGATGACAGTAAAATATATTATCTTGCATTAGGTGATTCGTTTCCATCAGGTGTTTCTATTTCTGGAACTCCCCCTGGAAATAAAACATTTCCGGCTTATTCTTACGTGGATGCTTTATATGATTTGTTAAAGAAGAATAATGCAAATCTTGAATTTAAAAAATTTGCGCGAGGTGGTGAACCCAGTGACGGTCTTATTGCTAATCAATTAGATAATGTTACAAACTTTATGAAATCTAATAGTGGATTAACAAAATTTGTTACAATTACAACTGGAATAAATGATTTTCGCAACTGTAATTCTATCGCGACCAATTTTTCTGAATGTTTTAAAAGTGGGCTTAACAATCTCATGAATAATTTAAATAATACGATAATTCCAAGGTTGAAGGAAGCAGGAGGTGAGGGTGTACAATACGCGGGTACTACATATTTTTTTTATCCATCGCTAGATGATAGTTTAGTTAGTCTTTACAGCGCAAATGGGTTTAAAGTAGTAGATCTCAGACATATTATTACAAACGATACGAAATGCAATTACACTTACCAGTGCGAATATGGAGATATTCATCCAACTCCAGATGGTAGTCGTGCAATTGCAAGTGCATTATTTGTTAACTTAGCTGTGCCACTATAAATCTATATAGGCTTTCTTATTTTTTTATTACTGTTTATTCAGTACAGTTTACGTACGTACATTAAATACGTATATATATATATATACAGATACTTTGGTTATATTTACCTATATACAGCCATACACATGTAGGTTTTCACTCTGCATCGTGGTTTACAAATTAAACTAAGAGAGCACTCGAATCATTTGATCGAGTTAATTTATTCGAGTCGCAAAAATTTAGTTGCCATTTATAAAGGCAAATATATCTAATCTTCCAATCGGCCAAGGCAGAGTTAATGGGTTGGGTTGATCTAATCTTTAACTCACACCATTCAATTATACTTCTACTCTGGGTTGCTTCAAATTTATATACATATTTTTAAACTCACCAATTTTGAGTCGGGTTTATGCTACTCCATTAGTAACCGTATACGCTTATTTCTTCGAAAATTATTTTTCCAACAGGCCATTTACTCGACGTCACAGATGTAACATTTAACTGTAAATATATATTGTTAATAAATTGTCATCCCTGATGTCGAGGAAATGAGACGAAACCAACTTTATTATCAAATAATGACCAAATAATTTGGATCTTTAAGATCATTTGAGTTATTTGCATATGAAGATTGCTAACTATACCGAACATAGAATATTGATTATCAAACTTTCTACTATCATGATCGATTATTGATCGAGTTGAGTCAATGATTTTGTAGACTCGATCAAAAGTGGGTAATCATTGATTTTTGAGTGATCATCCGAAATTTTTATGATTAAGATTAAAGTGAAAACCCGATTTAAAGTAATATAATTACATATTCTTCGAAACTTTTCTTGCTTACTTTTATAACA